TTCTTTGCAGAGATTCATTCTGAGCATCAATCATGAGGCAGTTATTTAGGTAGCTTATTGGCATTCTCCTAAGACTTAGAAACACCTGGAAGATAATGGTTGCACATCTGTTATGCAGCAGAAGTCCTAGATGCTTAAGTAGCTTAGCTGATAAGGCAGATCTTGCTGAATCACTTAATAACAGGAAAAAATTTCTGCTCATTTATGTGCTGTACAACCACCAGGCTTTTAAGAGGCTCCTGGCCTGAGATACTATCTCCTTCCCATTTAAAAATACCCCAAAACCATTGCAGTGTTTTCAGAGATTCCTGTTTATGGAGATGTTGGGGTCTATTTTGTGGCTGGCTGCTCTGATTACACCCTTTCAACAACTTGTGTCGTTGAAATTAATAATATCTTTTGTTACTGAAACTCTTAACACTGGCCACAACTGTGACGGAAAAGGAACGCATTAGAAAGATATTACTGTGTTATAACAGAAGATGCAGCCTGAATTGATGTTATGGTAGTTCAAAATAGCAAAAATAGAAAGCCACAATGGTTCTGATATGTTGGTTATCAGGCAAATCAATAATGTGTCTTCTTTCTGCCTCTGATAAATATTTTGAATTGTAGTAAATGGCAAGAAAGTTGCACGTATATTGGCAGTTGCCTCACCTGCCAGGGTGAAAGAATAAGCCTATGCCATAAAATAGCGTACTAGCAGGTAGGGACATGTTTGGTCTAAAGTGTGGCGCTACTCATCCCCAATCCTGTAGGATTACTCATTAGCGCATTTTCTGAGTGTGGAAACTGGTGATGGAGTCCATCAATATCCAGGTTGCACTTCATTTGGAAACATTAAACTCCAGCTTTTCAGCATTTGTGCAGGCTAAAGGAGTCTACAATAATGCTATTTAGTATCGTGGCCTCTAAAACTTTTTGAAGCAAATACCATCTTCCATTCTGTCTTCCAAACGCACACAGCATTCATAACTGAATGTGATCCCACCTTGTCTGGTTTCCCAAGTCATGGCAGAAGAGGATAGATAGTGATGCTCCTGAGATTTATTGATGATCCTTCTATCAGTGGAGAGAAAGTTCCTGTCCAAACCTGAACATGCTTGGTCTCCCCAGACACCTCTTTGGTGCCGTTCGTCTTGTTAATGTTTCTCTGGTGTTCAAGAACTGCCATGTGGTCCATGGCTCGCGGAAAGGGAACTAACATTCCTCCTCGGAGCCAGCAAATACGTTAAGCACTTATAAGGTGCTACAGCACAGTTTGGAAAATCAGTGTTCTGATTTTAACCTGCATACAAGGTCCATTTAACCCCACTCAAAATCTACTTTTTCTTTCAGGCTTCGTGAAAGAAAGCACCGTGCCACAGGTTCGGTTCACATCACCCCAACGCAAGGAAGGGAAGGATGGATTAGAGAGCACAAAAATGTGGGCTATATAAGGGAACAAGTGGGTATCAGGTAGATGTATTCTCAAGTCATAATCTGAAGTTTCTGTTTTCAGTAAATGAGATCTTTTATTATGAAAGGACAGATTGCAAAATGTGAAAACAGAGACCTGCAATACTGGAAATGCATACATTCAGCTTCGGGGGGGGGGGGGGGTTCCTTTTTAAAAAAAAAAAAAAAAAAAGAGTAGTTGGCAACTTCATGTGATAGACAGCTATGGTTCAGATAAATGAATTGTTATCAAACATATCATTCCATTGCAAACAGCAGTCAATTGATACAATAGCAATTATTATTATCAGCATTTCTATCAGAGTAATGTCTACAGTTTGGAGCCTCTGTCATGAACGGTGCACTGACCACACAACAGTGAGTTCCTTCTCTGAATGGGCTGTGCGTGGCTCATTCTTGAGTAATTAAAGATTCGGTTGTCCAAAGGTTTGGCATTCATCCGTGAAAGAACTTAATTGCCTGGCTGCCGTTTTGGGTGCTTAAGGACACTTTTCAAAATCTAAAGCTCCAGTGACGCTGTTACCTATCTCCTGAAATATCCAGGTTGCCAGGGCTGCTTAATACTTCTACATTAAGTTCCCAAACACCAGTTGTGGTGTGGAAGCTAATTTAACTTTGCAGGGAGCTTTGGAGTCAGAAAAAGCAGCTAAGGAGGTATGAAATTAGGACAAGGTGGACTGAGTTCTACCTCCTTCTCTGGGGAATACTCAGTAGTGAGGATTCAGTGTAGGAGGGAAGCTAAAAGAAACAAGTTCTGCTGTGCCCCTAAGTCGTATCCACTGCATCAGTACACACCTGATCTCAAATGTAACAAAAATAAGGTCTGTAAAAAGTACTGAGAGTGACTGTGTGGGATGGCAAAGCCCAGGAACAAGAAGGAAAACCAGCTTTTTGACTCCCTACTGTGGGAAGTCTCACTGCAAGATGGCTACATGCCAAAGGGCAATAAAAAGCACGCGAAGTTCCTGTCTGAAGAAGTGCTTGAAGAAGCAGATGTGAAAGGAGGGTCAAATACTAAATCAGCACAAACGAAGCTGTAAATAACTGACTGTGGTTAAGAAGGACTCACGTACGTTAACACGAGAGTAACTGTTTTGCAAGATAAGCACTAAGTTGTATCAAACCTATAAGGAGCTTGGCTGTTGCAATATGTATGAACTAATTAACTCTGTTATATAAATCATAAGAGTGCGCAAATAAACTGAGGCTTGTGATCATCATAGGATGAGCATGTCTCCCCTTGTCTCCGACACCCTACTGTGAAAGGGGAGAAGCAAAGAAACAGGTCAAGGAGGACAAGTATAAAGCCTATTTCTAAAGCATCTTATTTCATTGGCTGTCGTTCAGAATTGGCTTGAGTAATGGGCTTTTGTGTCTTTCCACACCTCCCTTTAAAGCAGAAAAGTCATAAACACCTCTTTAAACTGTTCTAACTATATGGGGTTCCTCGTGGTTCTTTGGATCAACATTTCTAAAAATAAACGTAGACTGCAGAATTACTGTCGAGAGAGCGCTTTGCTAGCCCAAGCAGACTCAAAAGCAAATGAACACTGGGGAAAACTGTGCAAAGTAGAGACGAGAGAGATGTTACAAACGTATAGGAAATAATGCAAATGGAATATTACAAACTATTGAAAGATAGTAGTAACTGAAACATTAATTTAAGGTTTGATCAAATGTTTTAGAAAACTCTGTCCTAGTTGTGTTCTCCTCCATCCAGATTGATACTGATGCAGACTTTAATATGGACTTTTGTATGGAATGAAGAAATCATTGAATCAGGTGTGTTGTATATTATTTTCAAGACTTTATGGTCTATCTTTAAGCTAAAAGAAAGTCAGGTGGCTATTATGACTGCTTTAGAAGGATAGAAAATAGCTGAACCAAGTGCTATTTTGTAACTAATATTCATTTCCAGAAGTTAATAGTTCTATTCCCCCCCCCCCAAAATCAATAGTTTACTTAGCAATTTTGCAAGCAAGAAAGAGGGGGCGGGAGAACAAAAGCACTTATGCTGGTAGCATGTTATCTATTGTAACATTTTGTGCGCACCATCCCAGGCATAGCCCAGGGATGGGAGAAGAGTCTTTCGCACTGTAGCAGCAGCGTGGAAGTCGTCTCCTCCCTGCCCTGTTCCTGCTGGGAGCGCTGGAAAACTGGAAATGCAAAAAAAAAAAAAAAATAAAAAAAGAAAGGGGGGTGCTCAGCAGGTTCCCAAACCCAATACTGACTTCTTAGGGCCGTGGGCATGGCTTTGCCGTCAGGCGTAACTTGCGCTTTCCCGTCGGATCCAGACGGAGCTGCAAGGGGCGGGGGGTGCCGGCTCGCCGATTCAACCAGGGGGTTGAAGCGCGTTTTAGGCTAAGGCTTCCCTGCCCCCGCGGCTCCGGCGAAAAGCC